TTGCAGTTGGGCGGTGCAATTCAAACTTGGAAAGATTGTAGCCTTTCGGCAAGAACGTGACATATTGTGCACCAGCAAACTGTTCCGGTCTGGTGACTATCAACTCTTCCACAAGCGCTACCTTGGCTTTCCTGGCTCAAGCAACTTCTTTTCGAAAGATTTCTTCTCTGTTTGCTGATGGCGAAAATGGTTTTGCTGTGGCAACATCACAAACTTACCTCGACATTCAACAGAACTTCAAAAGCCATAAGTCTAGGGCATAACTCGTTTCAGTAGACCACTCACCAATCATCCTGGAAAGTCGGCTAAACCACGATTTCAAATCAGCAGTGGATCGTGTACTGAGCACTCTTGGCTTTTGAATGCGCACTCGCAAAATGACTGTTGCTGCTGAGCGATAAGCTTTTTTAGACGGTGAGATATAAATTGCGCTATCTTCACGACACACGAAATAAACCCTAGTCACTGACACTCGGCAGGCTGTGTAATCTGGACGTCGTATTGCTCTCTTGCCAGCTAACTTATTAATCGAATGTTCCAGGTGGCTAATACTAAATCACCAGGTACCTTCGGTCTGAACAGCTGGGAATTACCGTTCTTTCAAAGATTATAGTCGGATACGAATGGTGCAACGGTCGATCTTCACAAGGCTCAGCGATCCTATGGGCTCTGATCATATTTTCAAAACGTTCCCCTTATGAAAGTTTCTATCCCATGGATCCTCGCAATACCTGTTTGTTTGCCGCATCGTTGAACGCCTTGGAAGGCTGTCACATTACTTCACATGATGTTTGTGCACTCCAACAGCTTGGACGACAGGCCATGTTGACGCGATCTGAGGATGACCTCAAAAGAGTGAATGTCATAGACATACTGAAACAATTTTGGCTAATTCATGTACCACCGACAAATTTGCCGGAAGAGTGACAATAAAGCCCCGAGGATACATCAGATTTATGACAGAAGCTAAGCGGCGTGAAGGTGTACAACACGCTTCCTTGAGATAACAGTAATTGAACATCCGAGAGCTGGAAATCTAGACTAGTGCAGTTCTGTCTGGCGCACTGCTACCAAGATTTTGAGAGACTCCGACCACACGCAGCGGATAATACCCGACGGTGTAAGGATACGTTTCCGGTGATTTTAAAACCAAAGTACGGGAACGGCATTTTTCAGGAAAGTAGCATACTCACAAAACAACTTGGCTCTATGCCCTGCAGACTGTTCCTGCAGATCAGACAGAGTTGGCCCGGAAAAATTAGTACACACTGCCCAACAGTTCGACATTTAACTATCTTCAAACCATCAATGTGAGCCAAAGGAAATTTGGTTGTCCCAACACCATTTGTAGTTTTGTTCCGCCTGTCCCCCAGATGGTGTGTGTGTAGCATAATGTTGGATGTTGATGTCATGCTTACGCATGCTCTACAAACAAGACAAAGGTGGTGGATTTATTGGTGATGCTCAAACGAACTGTACTTTATTTTACTTGTTCTACGGTGCGCACCCCATAGGATACGACGGAAAAAAAACCACAATAATGCAATGTTGTCTTATTTGTGCCTTTTGTGGTTCGTTGCGGAAAGGTTAGTTAAATACCTTTGTAGTACAAAGGTACGGGGATGCGGACAAGACGTAGGGGACGGGCGAGCCGCTGCTCCATTCCCTGAAAGCACGTAGGATGCAAGTATTCCGTCAGCGTTCGTCTCCCGTCGGGAGAGAAAAAAACGGTAAGCATAAGCGAAAATAGTTGCCAGCCTGGAGCGTTTGATCGGCAATAGCGAGCAAATTGTTATCAAAACATTCTTACCCCCAGTTCGATAAATAAACCACTGTCGCTACAGACGCCAGCCTCTTCGGGTCTGGTATGTCTCGGAAACCGCCCCATCAAAAGTTGAAATAATACGCGAAATAACTTACCCATTAAGAACTTAATTTCAAGAATGGGCTACCATCTGAACTTTCCGAGACCTTATCAACAGGTTGCCCGCGTTAATCAAAACTGTCTAGACGAACGGACAAGAAAAACATTCTTACATACAATATGAGCCAGGGCAAGAAGGAGATAGTGGCGATCGTCTCAAAGATATGCATCAGTATTTTAGCGCCCACCGACGGAATTGTTCGCCTTGAAGAACATCCGCGTTCATGCCGATGACAACTAGACCGTTACACACAAAAAAACCATCGGTAGATTCTCAAAAGTGGGTGAGATGGCTCAGTGGTCACACTAGATGGCTCGGTGGTTGGAGCACGAATTTACTGACTAGAAGGTCCGTGATTCGAACCACATCTCTGCCTCTCGACTTCCCCTGCCTAGGCTTGGGCAACCTGGCAGTATCCCAGCCCTCGGGTAGCATCGCGGCTAGGCACCGAAAGGGTGTTACAGCTAAACGAGATTCTCAAAAGACTGACGATCAGAATTTTCATGGATATTCTTGTTGATCAATGCGTACCACATGCGAAAGTGGCTGCTAATCCACCCTCAGAATATTGCAGGTGCTGTAAGAAAGTTCACCGAATTTCGCCCAATTTCGACTTTTGTTTTCGGACATCAGTGGCTTCTGTCAAGGATCCCCGATTGAACGCTTCTCCTTGACTTCATTCTCGATGGCATATTCACCAAGAAAGTGATTATGGAAACTGCTGATAGGTTGAACATTTGCCCTGACAGCATCGTCTTTCACAGTTCACTTCTTTTGGGAACAGGCTTTAGGCGCACGACCAAATGTGGATGAACTCTCCAGGGATGTAAGTCGTTTTGGTCCATTCCAAACCGCATAGCAGTAAAGCACTGGTGGCATCTGGCACCCGGTGTCTCGAGTGCTGAAACTGCCAGAGAAGGGATGTTCTACTTGCCTCAGTAGTTGACTATCAACCAACGAATAACACTTGTGCCTCGAAAGCAAGAGGCATAATCTTCACATCTCGACTCCTTATTGACTGTGCTATCTGTATCTTTCTTTAGGGAGAGGCCACGAAGCCTAAAACATGGTGGCGTTCATATAATGATAATAAAAAGCTTCTTGGTTCATTTAAGGGATCAGAACAGCTTTCTTCACTTAACCGCCACAATTTTCAAGGCAGTCAACGTGTTGTTGAGAGCAGTCTCATGTGAAATCATGGAGACGGAGTTCAGGCCTTGCAAATGCTGTAGCAACGATCACCAAATCTCGCGTGTTGTTCACATCAGCAAGACTGGAGTGGAATAAATTTCAACGTCATCCGGGAACAATGATATACAACATAAAAACGGCAGTCAAGTCAGTCTCATTTCGGGCGTTTTGATCTTCCAGCCACAGCGCAACGAACAGTGACGGGCTCTGTTGGCGGTGTGAGACATTAAAAGGGAAAGAAATCACTGACAATCTTGCAGTTTGCCTGTGTCGTCATGAGTCCTGGTACCCCTGTTTAACTCGTGATTTTGTTCAGCTCCACATCCTGTCAGTTTTTCCGGCACACGCGCCAACTCGTTGTAGCACACAAGATCCGTTTGAAGAGAAAGCGCTCCTTATCGCTCGCTTTCGCAAAAACGATCCAACAATATATATGACGTAAACAACGGTGGTCGTAGGTAGTCTAACCTATAAATGACTGGTTTGTAGAACTGGAAAACTTCAAAGCAGAGACAGACTTGCTGAAAACTATTCAGCTGGTACTCATCAGCTTCGTGTGTACCTTCATACAACGAAGCATACCCTGAAATTGCAAACGTCGCACCAAGTAAGGCATTATATGGCCTCTGTGCCGCACATATAGCAGAAGAATAACACAAAAGAGAGACTCCAATGCGCTGCATTTGAGTCTCCCGTTAAAACCAAACTGGTTTGCATACATACAAGTGTGTTGTGTGAGTTTTGTATAACCGTTTCAGTTCCAGAGGGAAGGAAGCGCATTACGGCATCTGCTGAAATCAAATGCATCCACTTACCGCTGCAGGAATAACGGTGCTAGCCTTACGAGAAACCAAATTTGGTGTTGTTTCCGCATCCCATCTGGCGCTGGTGAGGAAGGTAGATGATAGATGAACGTAAGCTAGCTAACCGCCGTGCTGGCACATTCGACCGCTTTTGGCGACAATCCAGATAATGTGAGCGGTATCATGGATCCACTCCGAAGCAACATGAAACAAGGACGGTCAAACTAGAGGCCGGCTATTCTGGCAACCCTTTCACAGGGACTTGGAAGCTCACTCTCATCGACCCACGCCGGACACCACTCACAACACAAGAAGTGTGTAATTGACGCGAATTTTTCAAAAGACCTAAACAATAGCTACTTGAGCCGCTTCGTTCATTTATTAGATAAGCTACGATCTTGACGGTCAACTTTTCACCCACATCCTTATCCGGCAGAGTAACAGGTAATAACGACGACCAACCAAAACAAAGCCATGAACCAAGCACGACTCCGGTTAATTTAGGACATACGTGAATGCAGCCAAACACGGTAGTACGAGAAGCGTATCATTCAAATGAATGCAGCCGACTTGCTATCATCCTCGGAGACAAAGCCAAGTTAAGATAGATCGTTTGATGAACATTGATGTGCGGCCCAACGAGTATGCATATCTCTGTGGATAGCTGTAAAGTAGATCACCGTTTTTCAACATATCAACGAACTATTGGTACAAGGATGTCATGTTTATCGGTGATGCGACTTTTTCCATTTTCGTTTGGCTTGACGGTTTTCATTCAACCCGTTTTTGCTCTTGCCATATCCAACTCTGCTGTGGCTATCGCGTGGTGAGAATCCTTAGGTAATTTGTTCAAGAACTTTTCCGATTAGTGTATGAATTTGTCACTGAACCGTGATTAATGACGAGAACGCGGGTGGTATCTTGTCGGAAAGTAAAACCCCCCTGGTTCAAGAGATGTCGCGCTGATCCGCTTGAAATCAGCGACAGTCTCAGCAACCCAGGTTGATGCCAGTGTTGCATCTCAACGCAAACATAACACCCTTAAAACTACCAGTTATGTATGAAAAATTGAACTTGGGTTGCATAATCAAGACTGTTTTCGGACAATCGAAACAAACGCATATTCAAACCGCTACCAGCACCACCACCAGGATAATAAAGAACACAAGTCAGTTAGCAAAGTAATAACTCAGAGATTACACATCACATCTGCTGCGGCAAATCTCGTGAGAGCAAAACATTGGTGAATAAAAGAATGCACAAAATAGGTGTTGTATGAAATTATTAGTAATAGTAATAAGAATAAGGTTAGAAATACCAGAGAGTGAGTCCCCAGCACAAAAAAAACAGATGTACCACCAGTTCTCCCTGCAATGTTACCTGCGGAGGTGCGTATTGGATCCCCAGTCAACACTGTGTGGGTTCGCGCAACACAAGGTGAACTGGTCGGGCCACGTAAGCCTTTAGGCCCACTGTCTCGATTCCTGGTTTGCTTGTCCATCCTCAGAGCTGAAGAAAATTGTGTGAGCACAAGACTTGAGAAACAAGATGAGGATGATGACTGAGAGGCAACCAAGACAGTCAGTCACTGAGTGTGTGGCAAATGACCTTGCTGTTGCACGCAGCACCGGCGTTTGGACATCGGTGTGCCCACATCTTCTCTTGAACAAGGTGTATTCATTGGCTTGTGTTATTCTTAATGCTTGTTACTAAACAGGTACAACTTGTACTATGGTTTCTGCAGTTCGGTTTTCTACCGATCCTATATGGTATGCACTAGGTATGAGGTCGTGGTACGTGTTGGTTTGTGTGCATGGACTGGTTTGGCTCATGTTCACATTACGGTATTGGGCAGTATTTTGTGCGCGACGAAAACGTCGTTTGCATGTGAATATGACAGTGAGACACACGATCATCAGGACAATTACAAAAACACTTGTCCCGATAAGGAAGGCTTGACAAGTGGTAGAGCCCTGGCGATTGGGGGTGACAGCACTGCAAGAAAGGAACGAGAAGCTCGGTAAACAGTTTAATGTAGAAAACCAAAACATAGAGGATCAGGAGAAAAAAGCCATTGGCTACTTTCACTGAAGGTTTCCAAGGCTAGGAAAAATCTCTATGCTGTGTGAAAGACTGTGCGGGACAACGGTCAGATTATGAGAGCTAGACGATATCTCGCGTTCGTCTTCAGCTCTGAGTCTTCACTGATAGCCAATGTACACAATCAACAACGTTAAAGGTGCCCATGTATGTAGCAAACTTTCCGGGGGAAATTATGCAAAAATAACCTACTACTGTCATACATCAACAAAATAAGGGCAACAAGGATAGTCTTAGCAAATTCGCTTTCACACATCGAAAATCATACTAGGGACAAAACGGCAAGTGCCCATGTATGTAGCAAACTTTCCGGGGAAAATTATGTAAAAATAATCTACTACTGTCATACATCAACGAAATAAGGTCAACAATGATAGTCTCAGCAAATTCGCGTTCACACATCGAAAATGATACTAAGGACAAAACGGCAGACTACAAAGAACAAACGTAATCATATCTCTTTTCAGAGGGGTTTGGTAAACAATCGGTGGATTGTTTACCAAACCCCCCTGAAACGATGACTTCCCAATCGGTCCCAAACATTTTCCAATTGATTGTAATCATATCTCATTAATGGCTCAGTAGAATTATAAGGATGTAGAAATGCTTCAGTCCCAAATCGCCGCCTCTTGACTTCCAAGGAATCCTTTTTGATAAAAACAAAGCTCGGTTATAGCACCCTTTTGGTGCCTGACTGCCATGCCACCCGAAGGAAGCATGAGGACTGGGATATTGCCAGGTTGCCCAAGCCTAGACAGGGAAGTCGAGAGGCAGAGGTCGGGTTCGAACCACGAACCTTTCGGTCAGTAAACATTCGCGCTCTAACCACTCAGACCATCTCGCTTCCTCATTTTTGATAGTCCTCTCTCAGTTCCTCCCTGAGGTACTTGATGCCATAAGTGGATTGGAAAAGACGTACCAGAAGGAGTAAAGTGAACAGCATGGTTTGGCTGACAGAAGCTAACTTAAATAGGCCATACAGTTTGCATACCTCCTCCTCGTATAAGTTTTTCCAATTCACTCAAAGTGTCGGGGAAATTTGAATAACTGAGTGGGGATTTCGGAACACAAACTTCCGACGAACACAACCGCTCACCACGTGCTTTATTGCAACCAGTGTACCAGATGGAGATACCTATTCAAGTGTAGAAACTGCTAGAACAACTGCCGTCTACTAGAATTTCTTGAAGCAGCTAAAACCCACTGCTGCACAATCAGGCCAACCAGTCACATCTCCCTATAGGTAGTGAAGATTCAAGTGTGAATACTGCGTTAAACTTCAAAAAAACGTCAGCTTCCAATTCCCCAGCTGGTGTTTTATCATCGCCAGTATTAATAATGTTTGCATTATCAAACAGTAGATGCAGTTGATTCCTTGCTACCCCGATTTAAGCCACCTGGACACAGAGAACGCTTCCTCAGGATGAAGCAACTATCACGCACCTTCTGAGAATTATATTCCAAATACAATTAAACATACGATCCTTAACCAACCTGATCTGGTATGTTAGGAGTCCAAAATATCGATCAGTGGCAATTAATTCTCAAAAATGCTTCCCGAAGCTATGTAGAATGTACACTGCAAACTTTTTACTTCAAAAAAATAGTTATTAGCTGTAATTAGGCAATGTGGACTCTTCAAGCCCACCATAATAAAAATGGCTTGGACCGGCTTTGTTCATAAAACTGTAGGAAAAATGGATATGATATCTTTAATGTCACTAACCCGTAATAGTGCAGTATGAAACAGTGTATACTGTACAAAAATAAAGTTTTGTCGGTTTACTAGAAATCTACTTCTGTTTGAAAACGTACTTGAGGATAAAGAAAATAGCTCCTAGACTCCACTGCACGTCTGTACCGTTTATTTCATTGACACGATGCAATTTGTCATAGGTCTTTGGAAACTTGAAGCCATCGTGCAATACGGTGACCACGTAAATGGCCTTGAAACAATGGTGCCTGTCGCGAGGAGCATAGAAGAAACGTCACATTTAACATGGTTAAAATCGACTTAAAAACAATTAAAACAAAACATTCCTTTTGCAATTATTTTGTCTTGTTGACTTCTGAGTGAATTAAAATTAAACTTTGTCTGCGAGAATAAAAAAGTCGACTTTGGAGAGACAGAGTCCATACATTGGGAAGCAGATGTCGTTTCGATCAAAGGAAATAAACATTGATCTTCTAGAAATACGTAATTGCTCAGGTATCGAATCGGACCGAATGCCAGACCGGACAAAGATATTCCTTCAAAGGTATCGGCTTTTCGTAGCCTAAACTACGTAGTGTCTCAGACGAAAGAACCTAGGTTGCAGCTCATATACGCTTCATTTTCAGCCACAAACAGGCACTCAGGCATTTTAGTTAGTGTGTGATTCTTTAAACTGAGCTGGTAAATACTCAGCCAATCAAAAGATTGTGGTCCGTAGGTATCAAACATAACCCCCGTCAAAAGTGCGTGGCTAGCTATTGGCTGGTTGAAAGGAACCTGACCAACCGATGCGTGAGTTACGCTGAAGTCCATTAAAGTCTTACTACTGAATGCATACAAAAAACTTTACGAAACACCGAGTACTAGACTAAAAATCACCTTTTTGGAGTCAGTGTTAGCAAGTGGCTGGCATTCGGAAATTTTGCGCAAGTGCTGCAAGAGTGATATCAATGTGATATTTCTACGATCGTCTGCAGTATCGGCAAAAGACCATTAACAAGAACGTTTTCTCTGAGTTTTTTCTTTAACCCATGGTTGTCATGGTTCAAGGGTCTGTAGGCAAAGCGTGTCTACGCAAAATGCCTGGCTTTGGAGCAAACAACGTAAATTTGCCAGTAAATCTTGTTGTTTTGTACTATCGATTTTGTGTAAATATCCATGTACCTCTATACTTTATGTTCTCAACTGGAAGAAGGAACTGCCATCGTTTTGCTTGTAACCAGTTCACGAAATACATAGGAAGTTTGGGCATAACCGACGGTTTTCAACATGACAGATCTGCGAAAAGCATACTCCACTTTCTTCGCTTGCAGTGAAACATTAAGACAGCCGTTTGACGCGTAGTAGTTTCCCTGAGGAACTAAGTTCAATGCCTAGGGAGAATCAGGCATTGTTATTTTTGAACGATGAGATAAAATGCAGGTCAGTTCAAGGTTTAATTCTCCATATTCTCCAAAAACTGCAGTAGATATGCACAATTCATGAGCTAGATCTGGCCTAAGGTTCAAGACACGGGTTCCCAATCTCATTGTTCATGATCACTACTAATCTTTCCTGTCCGCATCCAAGCATCTCAAAGGGTATTCGGCGTCGTGTTTGCCTCAGGCTCTTCAGAACTGTGCAGAATGTCGGTTTTGAACGGTACATGAACCGCCTCGAAGCAAAACATGGGGTAGTCCATAAGGATGCATTTTCAACCAGTGTACGTGGGTCATGTGGTGTATGATTTGATCATGGACGCAGACCGCTCTGTCTATTTTCGGTAACTAAGTTCAGTGAGCCTATATTCTGTCAGTTTGGAAGGAGTAGGATTGTCAATAGTGAAAAAAATATGATCGTGTGATTCATGCTAAAAGCAACCAAGGCTCGTTTAGGCGGTTTGTAACGAAGATGCCATGATCGACCTATCCAGGTAGCTGCTACATATCCTATCTGGATATGACATCACACTCAAACAAACCGACTGACCGCAATGAATTCGAGTTTCAGTCTAGTTGACAGCCAATTTCGGGTAGAAGACTGTCCCAAACGAATCTAAGGAGAGTTGTTAAATCTCGATAAAGATTTCGTACTGTCAGTGAGGTCAACCTATGCTGAAAATCCGGAAAAAACCGTAAGCCTGTTTTGCTCACTGCTGGGAATCACCATTGGACAAAACTCAGTTTTGTACCCGCGACCTAGTGGTTGAACACTTGAACATTTGGACGAATAGAATCATTTACATAACAACTGGGTCTTCAAGGGAGACTCAACTCAATCTCTTGACCATTCCACCTGGAGCGGCTGATCAGCAGTGCGACAGAGAGCACACAGCGCCACTGAACCCTTAATTACGGAAGCCACATATAGCTCTCACGTATTGACAGGCTACTTGAGGTTGCGGGTTCGAAACTCTAAGCTTCGTGTTTTCCAGCCAGAGGGAAACATCTGCAGAGTGATTCTCAGTTTTCTAGCCGTCGATTGGCTTCACTAACTGGACGAACATTTCAATCAAACTAAATACCTTAAGAGATGGATCACAAGATGCAAGAGCAGTGCGGTCAACAAATTTAGAAAATGATAGTACCATTTATTGTGCACGTGTTTCCTTTGCTTTGTAAGCTTGCTGGAACAGTGTTCCCGATCTCCGCCACATATCTTTGGGGGAAGAAACATGGTTGCAGTACCAACAGTAGACGCGCTTCTACCTGGATATTAAAGCATTCCTAATTCTTATCACATATACCGTCAACAGCCCCCCAAATGATGCAACTTAGCGGTGGTCATAGGAGTCGGTCATCGCTAACGATATTAATGAATATTCATTTCTAATCAGTGTCCACCATCGCATGATTTCTTTCCAGTCTTAGTCCCCTACTCATTGTAGAAAAATAGGGCAACCACAGTAAATCGAACTCACATTTTTATTTTGAGGAACTTTTTGTACCTAAAAAATGGAGAAAACAAAAATCGATGTGAAGTCACTCATCAGTTGAAGGTTAAACAATGCATCTTGATGGAGGCACTGGCAAACTCTGCTTCTTTCCGTAGTTTGTTGATGTTTTGTTTAGGTTTCGGAAGGGGGGAGGACTTAGAGAGCCGTGGAAATAAGTAAACAGACTGCGTGTTTCATACCGATCGTGTGTTTGACCAGCCGTCTTTTGGGTGGGTTCAGGTCAGTCAACCAGTGGGGTTTCTCATGTGAGCGGAGTTATCCAGATGTAGACAGCGATATGCATGCCATTGTTCATGTAGTTCCTGCTTACTTCTTCTAAGTACTTCATGTATTATAAAACCAATCGGAAAATCTATAGCTGGTAGTTTTTTTAGTGTCTTTGTGATGGATGAAATAATCCTTCTACTTTAACCAAGAATGAGGTGAGCTTTCGACATCCCGTTAGGTTATTTATTGATACGATGACGATGGTACGTATAGGTTACATGTTGGGAATTCTGTTTTGGTTTTTAGACTAGGAATGTTGCAAATACGTGCTTGTTTCCACACCACGTGTTGCTAGCTCTCGAGTTAATAAAAAACTTGTCGTATCCCGTGGATTACTTGAGGAAGCATCCTGCGCCATTGTACTGTGACCGAAGCAATTTCCAAATGTCGTATGCAACTCTTTGGGATACCCCTGTCAGTTTACTAACTAGATGGCTTCTGTAATCATTCCCAAAGGGTGATATCGGATGTTCTGTCTCCCCGCAGAAAGCCAATCCGTGGCTGCATCGAGATGGCAAAAAATGTTTGCTTGTAAAGACATATCACCTCAGTTAAATCATATGAACTGATATAGCGACCCGGGTGAACAAATATGTCCACCGTCCAAGTGTGCTCATCGGCCAGCATGCTCGTCCGGTTCAATCTTACTCCGTCCTCCACTATAATTTCAAATCTTACGGGTGCAATCAGACTATCAAACCATGCAGAGTGATCATTTGATCAACTTAATATTGTTGCATTTCGCAGGACGTCCTTCAAGCCTGCCAGCAAACCTCCCAGGAGTACTTCAACCCCACGCGCGTCAGTTGGTCGTGGAGAGATTGCCCTTGTTGCACTGACGACAAAATTGAAGAGTAAAGGAGAGGAGTGATAGCCTTGCTCTACATCCCTGGATACTGCGAAACTAGACAGAACTTTACCATGGACATCCATGGAAGGATAGATACAGTTCTATTACAAGAATCAGGAGTTTACATCTTTGCACGACAGTAATGGTACAAGACGATCAGCAGAATCGAATACAAAATTCAATTTGAAGAGATGTATGTTGTTTGTTTATGAGGGTTCTGTCGATATTGCAGAATCAGCCAAAGAGTACGCTTCGCGCCATCCCCAGTGATACCACTCAGCAAGGTTGTTTAAAGGTGTCTCCACGGTGTTCGATCAAACTGGCCAAGATGAGGCCTCGAATAAGTAACATGGTAATCGTTGAGTTGTAGCCAAGTTTCTACGACACCAAGAGGGAGCTTAAAGGCTTAGGTGCTGCCACTTCGCCCAAGCCTGCACAAAAGCAGTCCGGATGAAGATGTTGGGTGTGGATCACCAAACTTATGGTCAGTAGGTTCGTGCCTGGATCACAGAGCCACCTGACCAGATATGAGTTCTGAAATTACCTTGGAATGCCAAGCTGATTCCAGGGCAATTTTTGCCATAAAACGAATACAATAAAAATGTTTTCAGCAAAACCAACTGTACTACGGACTGCATTGTACTTTATCAAACACTTCGACTTTGTTGATACGACATTTCTCCGGGCCATGCCATAAGGCTTTAATGTCCGGACATCGGCGTCAACATAACCCAAGCTTTTGAGTTGACACGGAAGATCCTGGCGATAACTTGCTAAATCACCCAAACCGAATTCAAAATTGATATGATGCCGAACTGGGATTACGTTCTTTCCGTCGAACGGGTGTGCAAAGGCGCTTTAGAATTACACTGGTAAAAGACAATCAAACAATGCGTTAAAAATAAATAATAACTAAAACAAAAAGATAATCAAAATAAATAAAATAAATTTTCACTCTAACCATTGAGCCATCTCTCATCCCAAATAATGAGTTGCAGTCCCCAGTCACGCCGAAGGCGTCATGAACTTGGTTAGAAAATACTGTCCCACGATAGAATCTTTTCTTACAATGTCCCACAAATGTGGTACCGCATTTCAGGTCCTATCAAACGAACATTTGACCACAAACATGCTCGCATATAGAGGCTGCCTTCAGGCGGATTGAAACAAAGTCCTTCAAAGCTGTCTTGGTTTAGAATCAGATTAATCTATCGCTTTAGGACACACAAGTCCGCGTGCACGGCAACAACTCGTGCTTTACTGTCCTATAATCTATCATATTCTCGTCTGATTCAGACTGTGTCCTATTCACACACTTTGCTTGCGTTGCATGTGTGTTCGAGAAACTATCGGCTACAAATCGGCCTGTTTGTTTTCAAAATCAGTGCGTGTTCCTGTGTCACACCCTCGAAATTATTTTCAACGGACACATTTCATGTTTTGGTGTCATATCGGGTTGCCAGTAATGGTTGATACAGGTTGCAAGGTTTTCACATGATAGCAGTGAAAAAAAATTTTTTTTCTGGTCAGGTGCCCTCCACATATGGTCATAGGTGGTCATAGTAAACGGCACGTGATAGCCAACAGATTGCATGTTTAATTGGAGGCAAAATATAAACGGGGTTCACAAACACCGAAGTTCAGCTTCGGTTGAACATATAAACAAAGCCGGCACTAGTCTGTACGGGGTTGACAACTGACTGATATTGACAGTAATGTATCACTATGAGCTGTGCATGATAGGCACTGGAGGTTGGTCAAAACGTAATGCTTGTTGGCCTTCGACTTGTATCGATCATCAGGCACATTAGTTATCAGTCGATGTTGAGGAATCGAAACGTCCGAATTGGGTTGCACATCCGCAAGCTTGTTTTTTTCTCAACAGGAACAGTTCGAAAGGCTCACTAGTGATTTTGAATTCTTTCAAACCCGATAAAAAACACGTAATTAAGGTGAAACTGTTGTTTTTAGAAATTTATCACAGACTTATCGTTAAGTGAAATTGATGCAGACACCTTAACTGGATATTTGCCGACTCGTGCATTATCGTACATTAATTTTGTGACTTGGAGAGCTGAGTTTTGAAATGAAGGCTTGTTTTCATGAACCAGGAGCTGATAAAATCGAAAATGCACACCAAACACCTAACATCTTCAAAAGAGCGTCCAGCAAATTGTTCCGACCGCTGTCCTCTCAAAAGAGATGCCAACACCTCCATCTTGAAAAGTGTCACCATATTTGTGGAATGTAAAACTGCAGCTTAGAAGCTGATTTAATATCTTTAAAAAAATGACAGCTATTGAAAAATAACTGGCAGTTTGTTGCTCAGCAATGAATGAAAGGGAATAAAAACCAAAAATAATGTTCAAAAGCGTAAACTTCCGACTCCAATGGCTGGATAAAAGCACACAAAATGTAGAAAATGAGAAATGAAACAAATAAAAAGACAAGATTTGCGAACAAATTCTTTGAATTGATCAGTAGTCTATCGTTTCGAAACAGCTTTGAGTAGTTTACCGAGGGTAGTAGAAAACTATTGCCAATGGCATTTCGAAGACCAATCAAGAGCCGGTCATTTTTCGTCAATCTTCGTTCTAAGCTCAAACGCCCTGGATATTCATAAGATGCGTAGAAAGATCATGATAAACCAGAGACTAGTCACACGAATGATCATGAGCTATAGGAATACCCCAAGGGCTTTGTTACCTAAGTGTCACATCAAAGACAATTCATACAACAGAAACAAGATGAATTGGAGTGTAAGACGATTCTCTAATTAGTTTGCTATTTCTCCGGCGTCTTTCACTGTAGTTCGGAGTTCCAACTATCAAATTACCTCATATTGTGTCACACATCCGCAAATGGCTATGTACGTTCACAGTACAATGATACACACACAAAGCAGTTACGGACGAACTGGCTCTAAATAACAACTAAAGGTTCTCGGGGACTGATTGCTCTGCCAAGGCAAGCGTAGATGGAACAAATTGGAGCTGGTTTGTCTGTTGTTTATTGATTATGACCATGTTTACGATCTCGATGAACGCCATTCTGAACATGTTGCGGTTTACGTTCCAGCCGCCAGGTATGCGGTATGTTGACGCACAGTCGCTTGCCGATATTCGCTGAAACTTCCAACGATTGTTGTTCTCTTTTCTTCCTTTCTTTAGCTTTTCTTTCCACTTGAGTTGCGGTTTTACGTGACTCGGCTGTGGCGTGTGTTCATAGGCACAGTTGTCTGTCATCATCAGATTAATTCTGTCTTGGAATATGCTTGACAGTGAGTTTGCTGCCCATCCGTAGCACCTAACCACTGCTATACGTAAATGACCTGTGACACTTCGAGGATTTTACCCTTCAAGAAGACAACAAGGTGAAAACAAGAGATTGTGTAACAATACCAAGCGTGATATCGCTTGTTATCGCTTCTGACAGGCACGTTAGTTGATCGACAAAACTAGGGCAGCTACCGGGTCGGCGGTTAAGGAATTGGACAGATCGGACACAGTGTTCAAGCCTCAACACGTTTGCACCTCCAAAATTGTTCGGCCGGAAAACAAACTAGTCTTCGACGACATTTAACCGGATTTCCGGCAAGTTTGTGCACTGCCGACGAGTTCTTCAGCGTTCGCTGCGTACTGAACACAGTCAGCATCTCAAAGCTGCGGAATATCACCCCAAACGATGGCGAAGTCGGGACACACAGTCAGGTCCTCAAAAGTAATCTACCTGGGACACGTGTATATCTAACGGTGGTCCATCACAGTTCAGCATACCTCAAAATCAGCCTAGGTCACGCCTGCTATCGGCCGGAGCCGAGAATGTCAAATTTCAGTTGTGACCAAAAGACGATTAATCTTCTATGACGCAGTAAACTAGCCTACACTGAAAGAGCCCAGACGTCTGAGGGATGACTTGAAATCATCAGTGAACTATGGCTTAGTTCGAAAGAATCATTTCCGCTTCTCTATAATTTTTCTGCTCGGCTATAGGAGACTAGTCGATGCAAGTGGTAACCTCAAGAGCGTAACGCGTTCTGCAGACTAAAGTGCAGTCTGGGGGGATGAAAATTGGAAGCAAACAACGAGCTACTGGCCAGTGCAGGTATATTTTAGTTCGGTGACCTTTCTACCGCAAGTGGATCTGCTCACGATTACCAATGTGTTAAATTTGAGGTAACGCTAACTTCTGAGACCACGCAGTAACCTCAAACGATTAATTCACCGGGCCATCATGCTGCTCCATCTTCATTTCCAAATCCAAACAAAATCTCAATTTATTACTTAAATGACTCATAAGTGTATGTTCCACTTGGCTATTTAACCCCACTCGTGTCTGTGCCATTCGTGGTGGTAAGGCCTGCTTCCCTTCCGTGTATTTTCGATTAAGTAGTCTAGCTACGCAGAGTGTCATGCACTTTCGTCAATAAGCGTAAAAGATATCACAGATCCTTTTCCAAGTATCTCCTGCGAAGAAAACCCCCTTCCAACAGAGACCGCCGTGTAAATTATCGTCGGTGATGTCACACTCCACTCTAAAATACAGGCCATTCCCGCGTGAATCAAAAGGCCCTGTTATCCTGTGGAATCGTACGCTTGAGGCATATCTTATTTGCGAACCAGCGATCGACCACCCTGCATCTGAGAAATGAGACTGGTATGAGTACAACTCATACTGGACAGTGGATCACCATAGAGTACCGTAGGGCCACATTTCTTTCGGAACCTAGTAATTTCTCTCCCATCGTAACTTGCACCATACACCCTGAACCAGCTGTTCTGTACGATAGACCGGTTGTCGGCTCAAGTAAAGGGGCTCAACTCTGCCCGAACCGGAGTGTACAAATATAATCACATAAACAGTGGGTTTGCCCGACACACACGATTTCTGTCACAGAACTACTGTAGTAGTACGTCACTCTACTTGAAAAACTGAAAAAGCTTTGGCCTAATCGAAGTACGTGTGACATTATTCGATCCCCGCGTGTCCATCATCACAACAAAGCGCCGAAATAAGTTTAAAAGCCCTACTTCGTATCTCAGGAACTGTTCTCGAAACACCTGAGTGAAGTTGTAAAACGACCTTACGATGAATAAGCCTTATTTTGTAGACAACACAGAGTGAACTACATCATAACTGTTGTCCGAGCTGATTTTCAAGGTAAATTTCTAAAATCCAACGTGGTACCGGAGACAAAGTGATAAATAATCCAATCAGATGACAGTCCAGATGACACCATCAAACCAATTACTTTCTCAAGTTCTAAGCACCGGCAAAAACTTTCAGTAGCCACGAGTAAATCATGCGGCATACAAAAATTTCAGTATGCCAGCGCTGACGACCGGCATTGCGAAACACGGGGTAATTAACTCGACAGCCCGGGGGACAGGCTTGTCGGATACATTAGTTTACATAACGTACTCTCTCGGTTGCATACAAATTTGGTTTTGACAGGCGACTTAACTGAATTCAGCTTGATATCTTTCGTTTATGATGAGTTCAAGATTGACGGAACCTGGAAGACTACGTCTACCAGGTGAGCCCCAAAGAGGAGTGTCCAAAGGTTTTCAGCAACCTTATGAGTAGTAGGTTACGTCTAGAAAACTACTCCCAACATCGTACCACATGAAACACGAGGCAGTCTGTTGCAGCACATTCAGTTAAAAAGAACTTTCATGAATAAAAGATTCAGCAGCCAACCTACACTTACGCATTTTGCCACCAGAGCTAATTACCGGCAGTTGAACGCTCATTTTTATTTGCAGAGAGTAAGTCTAGTATATGTATGAGAGGAGGTATAATTCTCGTTTGCTAGAAAAGCTCACCTGTATTCCAGGATAGGTATAGTCGTGATCCGAATTAGCTCCGAATGTTCAGTGGGCTTGGTACTAACTTTATCTTGTATTGACGTAAGTGCTAAAACCGTCTGTAGTAGGCTCCGTTGAAACTACGCTGATTGAGAGAAATTGAACAGGCCAAATTCTGAATAAATGCGACTAATGCGTTCAAAAAAGAGTAAGATTCTATTCACCACTCCTTGATGAAGGACGAATAGCGGGACCCTAATACGAATAGGTAGAAACGATTACCTCTTTCTAACCGAAAAATGTTCAAAAACCAATTGTTTTTAGAACGAAAAACAAGAATAAATATAAAGTGTTTGGATGGTGCAGAATTCGTACAGAGAAGACAGGAGATTTTATAACGAAAAGGAATCAGCACGATATAGCACCGAAGATCATGAAATTAAGAGGTTCATACTCCCTTAACCTGATGGACATCTTCTGAGATCCTCAGATTCTCTGTAAAGGCAACAGCACCATACAGTTGTCATTGTCATCAACCGTCATCGGGGACACATCAGTGTTCAACAGAGATGCACCGTTGCCGCACTACCATGCTCTTTAAGACTCTCAGTGTAAAAAGATGAGTAGAAGTTGATGAAGAGGGGATCTGTCGCTAGTCCACCATAACCATTCCGGAGTGTCCACACCTCCCGACACTCGTTCGGACAGTCCGGATAGCTCTACGGCTATTAGATGGACTAGTGAACTGGAGCCCCAACAGACGATTCCCCTAACACTTAGATAGCATGGCCGTTTGATTGTTTCTTCATAATTAAGTAGCGAATCTGAACTCGCCGTCTGCTTACTAAGGTCCGATCATTAAGCCACTAAATTTTACATTATATATATTCCACCAGCGTAGTCATATATCGCACTGATACCTTAATGTTCTGTGACATTCTAGAACAATAACGGTGGAAAGGACGGAAGAGATGGGTAACCTTCCTTTATTTTTCCCACTGCCACCGTAAAACTTATTACCGACGAAATTGTTCAATTTTAGGCCACGATGGTTAGCACCCAAGTAGTCCGAATAACTGATCCAAATCTGCACTCATTATCACCCAATAGACGTGGCACCATCAGGCTTTTGTTTACGAGTACTTTTTCTCCATGACGTTTGCTCCGAAATTAGTACACACCCTGGGACGTGCGCTAAAAACAGCGGTTAAACAGTAATCACATGAGCACTGTTCAATCGTCCCTGGCGTTCAGTCCTGGTAAAGTCTGTCCTAAACTGTTACTGTTTTATTGGCCAGTAAACATGGCCCATAACTGGTTGAATTACCTCTTTTTTAGTTGGCGTCTGGACGCCTTTTCGTCAATTTCACTAGATCCGAGTGTGAACTCATCGGCGTCCTTTTACACTAGTAGTGCCGTGCAATCGCATAGCATACTCTTGTTGCTGACTTTCGACTTGGAGTTGTGGCGAATTTCCAAGTATTCACTCTGGAAAAATGTACCCGTTTGAATACTCCGTAAGCCGTTTAGTTGCTTGTCTGTTGTTTGACATGAATTTTTTGTTGATTAGCGAAGGAACAACGTTGTCACACACTTCAGTGTGTCACACCGAACCCCTATCAGTTGATCACAGCTTTCTTGAATCAGGCAAGAAGTTCCCCACACGTTTAATTTAACTACTCACAAGCCAGTCGCCTGCCATGGACAATAGAGTAAACGTCCCCGGCTCACATTCAAACTGCAACAATGAGCTCTTTACTACCTCATTAAACTTGAATAAGTGATGGATGACAAGGAGATTCAGAACTATCTGGATTCAGGCACTCATAAGCGGAAATCTTCATCATTTGCAGATAAGATTCGCTTTCAGAAACCCTGTTCTTTCGATGAGTTTCTTGACCACAGGGCGCAAAAAGTGCTTCACACAAAGCGAGCTGTCATAACACTCCACACGCGTATTCGACATAACATAGTCGAGGAGAATACGTGGCCAATAAATTTCTCCGCCGCTCCGTGGTGAGCTTCATCACCGTTTGGAGAACAGTTCACTTTTTCAGCTATAACGGTTTGGTAAATACTCTCAATCAGACCTCCATACTGATTCTCAGTGATTCGCGGAAAATTTAAACGACGAACAGTCCGCTGGCACGTTAGTAAAACAAGCGTACCCTGCAGGTCGCAAAATCTCTTCAAAAACTAAGTGTTCCCTTCTAGGCGAGAATAAAATCAAAAACGTCAAAGCTGAGGGCTGCGAGACCCTTAATGAAGGTATAGAGCCAATCCTTGTAACGTAGTTTACTGTCGCTAGAAACTTTGTGTGTGCGTGAAAGGAAGTCCATCAGGATCCAGGAACATGCTTGGTCTAGTGCTGTTCTCTCTGGTGAAATTCCAACACATTCGAAGGAAAAC